ATTTATTCATTATTTTTAATTTGATCAGCGAGGAACAGAGTGAGAGTGAGTGAGCAAGAGAGAAAGTGAGAAACCAAGCTGCAAGGTCTGGGACTTGAACTGCGGTCAGCCATGTGGGAGTCCAGTGTCCTTAACCACCAAGCCACCTGTCAGCCCCCCCTTAAATTTTTAATTTATTGTCATTTTGTCCCCCCCCCACTTTGCTGTAGGGCATGTGCACTCATGTGCTCACCAGAGAGAGCGAGAAAGCAAGCTGCCAGGTTAGGATTCAAGCCACAGTCGGCCAAGTGGGAATCCAGCACCGTAACCACCACGCCACATGGTGGTCTCTGAATTTGAACATTTTCTAAGCGTAGCTATATTTGCTTGATTCCATCACCCTGATCAAGCCAGCTCCTGGTGCTTTTCTACTTTAGAATAGCTGCGCCTTCCAATAGGAAGAGGGCTCTGCTCAGCGCCTGCTCCAGGGCACGTGCTGGTCGGCACAGGCACCTGCTGTGGCGCCATTGCTCGTGGTGCACTCAGTGTTCAGCAGAAGTGCTCGTTTGCATCCTGTGTGCCTACAGGCCTCTTAGAATCACAATGATTTTGATCTGCTGCTTTGAACTAAAACGCCGTAGTAGTTTATTTATGACCGTTATCATATCTCTGATTCTGTTGGACATCTATGAGATTTAACATATACTGAGAAAGACAGAGCTTTTTCTTTGGCTCTCAGATTTAGTTATTGACAGCATAATTTCTTATTTATGTATGATTGTTGTACATCTTTGTGGGGTACAGAATGATTGTGGTGTGTTTTTGTTTTGTTTTGTTTTTAAGGAATATTTCTGGACTGGTAGGTAGTGTAGTGGTTAAGGGCACTGGACTTCTCCACATGGCCAACCATGGTTCAAGTCCCAGACCTGGTGGCTTGCTTTCTCACTTTCTCTCTCTCTCTCTCACTTACTCTGTCCTTCTCTGGTCAAATTAAAATTAATCAATCAATTTAAATAAAATTATTCTTAAAAGGAATTATTTTAACTTTATTTATTGTTACTATTATTATTTTCCAATTTGATCAGAGAGAGACAGAGAGAAGGAAAGTAAGAAAGAAAGCTATCAAGGGACCAACAGTGATTCGAATCCCGGACGCAGTGGCTTGAACTCACACCAGACGTGTGTGCGTGTGTACCCAAGATCTCGAGAGGAGAATGGAGGGAAAAGTGGAGCCACCCCTCCCCCGGGGGGGTGATTTCTCACTCTCTCTGTCTGGTGAACACACATGCCCTGTAGCAAAATAAAAAAAAAAAAAAAAGAAAGGAAGGAAGCCACCAGGTTGAGGACTTGAACCACGGTTGGCCATGTGGGAGTCCAGCACTTTTAACTACCATGTTACCTGCTGGCCTCAGAGTATGACTGTTTTCTAAAAAAGAAGAAAAAATTGCTTTTAAAAACAAAATTGTGGGGCCAGTAGAAGGTGGAGTGGTTAAGGAGGCTGGAATCCTACGTGGTCCACCGGGGCAGCTTCAAAATTATGCTCGGCGAGTATGCATGCATGCCCAGAATCCTGAGAGAAGAATGGAGAAGGGATTGCAGTTTTGCCATCCCTCCTCTGGAGTTGATTTCTCACTTTCCCTTTCTTTGTCTGTCTTTCTCTGGCGAGCGCACATATCCTATAGCAAAAACCTAGAAAATAAATAAAAATAAAATAAAACCCCCAAATTTCGGGGCCAGCAGGTGGCGGGGTGGTTAAAGGGTTGGACTCCCACATGGTCCACCACTGCTCAAGTCCTGGACCCAGTGGCTTGAAAGTCACACTGGTACATGTGCGTGTGTGCTCCAAGCAGAGAGCAGCCTGGAGGAGAAGGGATTGGCCATGGCCATTCTTCCTCGGTATTGATTTCTCGCTTTCCCTCTCACTGTCTCTAGTGAACGCATGTGTCCTACAGCAAAAACTTTAATTTTTTTCTTCTTTATTCATGATAGTGTACCTAAATGAGAGAGGGGAGAGGGAGAGAAGCACCGGTCCCAGTGTCTAGTCACACCACCATCCTGTCTCCAGGCCTCCAGCCTGCCGGATCTTAGGCACTTACTACATGCCCAGCGTGCTTCAGGCTGACCTGGCTGGAAGTTCAAACCAGTCACCTGGGAGATCTGGCTTCTCCCGGCATTGTCACCCCTGCACCGTGGTGGAGCTGGCCCACAGTCCTTCTCAGGGGGATGAAAGCATACACGGAGAGTAGTCATCAGGGCAAGGCTATAAACATGTTCTTCATCCTCCGCACTTAACCTTGCTTCCGTGCACATGTGATCTGCGCACTTAACCTTGCTACCGTGCACATATGATCTGCGCACTTAACCTTGCTACCGTGCACATGTGATCTGCGCACTTAACATTGCTACCGTGCACATGTGATCTGTGCACTTAACCTTGCTACCGTGCACATGTGATCTGCGCACTTAACATTGCTACCGTGCACATGTGATCTGCATTCTACTAGCTTGTTTCGTTTTGTTTTGTTTTTGAAGGCTCTAGGGCTGTGAGAATTTAGATGATTTCAGCAGACCTGTAACCCAGGGCAGGAACTGGCAGACCTGGGGTGGACATGGGCTCTGCAGAATTGTGTTTGGCCTGCACTATGATTTGAAATGCTTTTTCTTCTTTTTTTTTAATGAAATGTCTTCAGGGTCTGGTATGCTTGGGAGAGCCCTGTGTGCCCCCCCCTTCCCAAAACAACATCTTTCCCTTTAGAACTCAGCAAGGTTTGTATGACTGGGGCTGGTCTTAGCCGAGAGGCATGGCACAGTACTGCCCCACTGCAGCCCTGGAGGAGGTGTATACAGGGTTCAAGAGTGAGTGCTGGTGGGACCAGTAGATGGTGTAATGGCTACGTCACTGGACTCCCATGTAGTTGACTGCGGTTCGAGTCCTGGACCCAGTGGCTTAAACTCAAGCTGGGTGTGTGTGTGTGTGCGTGCCCAAGATTCCAATAGGGAAATGGAGGAGAAGGGATTGCAGTGTGGCCATACCCTCCGGGGGTGTGTGTGTGTGATTTCTCACTTTCTGTCTCTCTGTCTATCTCTGTCATTCTGGCGAGTGCACGCGCCCTATAGCAAAAACCTCTCCAAAAAGAAAAAAAATATAAAATTATTTGCACCAAATTAAACTTGGACTTTAAATTTTTACAAAAAGTTTGTAAAGTCCCCTGTATTACAGTGCTAATGGAATAAGTAAACATGTAAAATAAATCAATAATTTAAGTGGAGAAATAGAAATTCTAAGAATCACAAAAGAAATGAGAGAAACTAAAGTCCCTATAATAGAGAAAGAATTAACAGAAATTCTAGAAATTAAAGACACTGTAATGGAAATGAAAAATGCCTTTGATAGGTTCATCAGTAGAATCTACATGACTGAAGAAAGAATCTGTGTTCTAGAAGACATGTCTAGAATCTTCCCTGACTGAAATGCAGAGAAAATGATTAAAGGATGACTAAAACCATGAATGAATGTCCATTAACTAAAAGACAACTTCAAAAGATGTTATAGACACAAAATTGAAATACCAGAAAGAGAAGAAAGAGATTAGAAGAGATGAAGTGTTTAAAGAAATATTGGCTAAGAATTTTCCAAGATTAATGATGGATAGTAAACCTACAGATCTAAAAACTGAAAGTATTCCAAGTTCTCTCTCTCACACTATATATATATACTCGGTATTGATTTCTCGCTTTCCCTCTCACTGTCTCTAGTGAACGCATGTGTCCTACAGCAAAAACTTTAATTTTTTTCTTCTTTATTCATGATAGTGTACCTAAATGAGAGAGGGGAGAGGGAGAGAAGCACCGGTCCCAGTGTCTAGTCACACCACCATCCTGTCTCCAGGCCTCCAGCCTGCCGGATCTTAGGCACTTACTACATGCCCAGCGTGCTTCAGGCTGACCTGGCTGGAAGTTCAAACCAGTCACCTGGGAGATCTGGCTTCTCCCGGCATTGTCACCCCTGCACCGTGGTGGAGCTGGCCCACAGTCCTTCTCAGGGGGATGAAAGCATACACGGAGAGTAGTCATCAGGGCAAGGCTATAAACATGTTCTTCATCCTCCGCACTTAACCTTGCTTCCGTGCACATGTGATCTGCGCACTTAACCTTGCTACCGTGCACATATGATCTGCGCACTTAACCTTGCTACCGTGCACATATGATCTGCGCACTTAACCTTGCTACCGTGCACATGTGATCTGCGCACTTAACATTGCTACCGTGCACATGTGATCTGTGCACTTAACCTTGCTACCGTGCACATGTGATCTGCGCACTTAACATTGCTACCGTGCACATGTGATCTGTGCACTTAACCTTGCTACCGTGCACATGTGATCTGCGCACTTAACATTGCTACCGTGCACATGTGATCTGCATTCTACTAGCTTGTTTCGTTTTGTTTTGTTTTTGAAGGCTCTAGGGCTGTGAGCATTTAGATGATTTCAGCAGACCTGTAACCCAGGGCAGGAACTGGCAGACCTGGGGTGGACATGGGCTCTGCAGAATTGTGTTTGGCCTGCACTATGATTTGAAATGCTTTTTCTTCTTTTTTTTTAATGAAATGTCTTCAGGGTCTGGTATGCTTGGGAGAGCCCTGTGTGCCCCCCCCTTCCCAAAACAACATCTTTCCCTTTAGAACTCAGCAAGGTTTGTATGACTGGGGCTGGTCTTAGCCGAGAGGCATGGCACAGTACTGCCCCACTGCAGCCCTGGAGGAGGTGTATACAGGGTTCAAGAGTGAGTGCTGGTGGGACCAGTAGATGGTGTAATGGCTACGTCACTGGACTCCCATGTAGTTGACTGCGGTTCGAGTCCTGGACCCAGTGGCTTAAACTCAAGCTGGGTGTGTGTGTGTGTGCGTGCCCAAGATTCCAATAGGGAAATGGAGGAGAAGGGATTGCAGTGTGGCCATACCCTCCGGGGGTGTGTGTGTGTGATTTCTCACTTTCTGTCTCTCTTTCTGGTGAGCGCATGTGCCCTATAGCAAAAACCTCTCCAAAAACAAACAAAAGAGTGAGTGCCGGAATCATCCATGTCCGCTGACATTGCTAGGATCTACAGGCCACTGGACAAGGTGTGGCCAGTCCACCTGCCCCTGGCCCTGTGCAGGAGTGTCTACGTGACTCTGCAGCCTGGATGGTTGAGAAAAGTTCCCGAAGACCAGCAAAGGAGATCCTGACATTTAGGAGCGGACTCGGGACCACCCCAGCCTGGTGAGCCCAGGAAGCACATGAAGCAATCCTGCAGCAAAGCGCAGACTGTCGGGAGCAGCAGCGAGGCCGCGTGCATGCGGCGCCTGCCAGGGAGCAGGTTCTGAGCAGAGCCGTTTCCGAGTGCTAGAAGGCAGAGTCCTCCTTACCAACAGCATGCACTTTCTTGCAGGAGCCGGGATCAACTTGTCCCCATTTGCTTGGACCCTGCTGGCACCAGTAGTCCCTCCACTTGGGAGCCCTCAGTCCCAGGCAAAGCACAACTATCGCCCTGGGCAGCAGCACAAGTCTCACCTCCTTTTCCGAGTACAACATTCCTGTCAACTGGGAAAACGGGGGAAACGGGAATGAAATACACAGCCTGGGCCAAAAGAACGATCGAGGTCACGGTGTCCAGGGCCTGACGACCACAGTGCGGGGAGTGGCCAAGAGGTAAAGCTAGCAGCGGGGCCAGGAGAGCATTTCCTCTTTCTCCCTCTCTCCCTCTCTCTCTCTCCCTCTCTCTCCCCCTCTCTCTCTCTCTCTCTCTCCCTCTCTCCCCCCCCTCTCCCTCTCTCTCTCCCTCTCCCTCTCTCTCTCCCCCCCTCTCCCCCCCCCCCCTTCTTTTTTTTTTTTTTTTGTTTGTTTTTGCCATAGAGCAATTACGCTTCCTAGGAAGAGACAGAGGGAAAGTGAGAAACCACCTCCCAGGAGGAATGGCCATGCCATAATGCCTGCCCCTCCATTTTCCTCCCAGGATTTTGGGTGCACACACATGTATCTGGCATGATTTTCGAGCCACCAGGTCTGTGATGTGGATTGTGGTCAGCCATGTGGGAGTCTAGCGTCTTAACCACCATGCCACCTGCTGGCCCGACATTGTGATTTTATTTTGTAGAGCAGTTTCAGGTTCACAGCGACATGGGAAGAAGTCCAGAATTCCCATGAACTCCCAACCCCCTGCACGGCCCCCACTGTCAGTACGCCCAACTCCCACCCCCCTGCACGGCCCCCACGTCAGTACGCCCTAGCTGAGGGTCCGTCTTAGGGACCTATGTGACATGTCATGATTACCCAGATTCAGAGTTTGCCTAAGGACTCACTCCAGGCTTGGACACAGTGCAGAAGAGTCTTTCCTTTCCTTTCCTTTCCTTTCCTTTTTTCTTTCTTTTCTTTCTCTCTCTCTCTCTCTTTCTTTCTTTTTTTGCCCATAGGGTGGGTGTGCTCACAGGAGAGAGGCAGTGAGAGGGAAAGTGAGAAACCACCCTCAAGGGCACGGCCATGCCCGGTCCCTTCTGCACGCCCAATTCTCGCAGGATTTGGGGCGTGCGTACATGCCCTGCTGATTTTCACGCCGCTGGGCCGCGTCCTCAAAGCATGGCTGCCCATGTGGAAGCTCAGCACCTTAGCCGTAGCCCCACCTAACAGGAAGTAGACCACAGTGCTCTGCATGCTGAGCAGATGCTCTGGCGGGTCTTCCCACGTGGCCACGCTCATATTCTCCTTCCCTCTTTCATCAAGGTTCCTCCGTGTCTTGTTGGGGCGTGAGGGTTGGAGGCTGGGCTAGGCGTGGAGACCCTCGTCAGACAGCACAGCACTGCCAGCGGGGAGACGTGCAGTCAGCTCTGGATCTGCGTGGATGCACAGGCTGTCGTGCAGAGTCCTTCCCTAGCTGAGGGTTATGGTGACAAACGGCTGAGAGAGACCGCTTAAGAGTGTGGGGGACAGAGAGTTCAGTGACATAGGGGGCACAGAAGGTTAGGGAGACCCCACAGGCTTTATAGGGAGTAGGTCCAGGAGAGGCCCAGTGGGGGCAGGGACAGCCAGGAATATGGGGCATGCCAGTGGGAGAGCATATAGGCAGGGTAGCTGGGCAGAGAGCTGTCGGGGCAGCCAGACCCAGGGTCCCATGGGTGTCGGGGAGTCACCGAAGGCTGCAGGGGGCTTGGAGAGCAGATCTGCCCTCTCACATCCCTCTGCCTGTGCCCCTGCTACTCAGCAGTGAGACGGGGGCAGCTGTGGAACCCCGGGCTGGTGTCGGGGATCACCTCTGTGGAAAGCCCCTGGTATGGTGCCCGAGTTATGGGGGAACCGCTAATGTGGCCGTTGCATCGACCAGCCTTTGCTTAGCTAGGTCTGTGAGTCCATCTCTAGAAGGGCTTGGGGGGGGTGCAGGTGGAAATGCCCTGCATCTGAGAAACCGCCATGCCGGCCGGCCAGCCTTCAGTGTTGTGCGTCCAGCACTGGCCTGTTGCAACGGCTGGGCTTACGGTCTAGAGGTTGGTGTGGGGTACACTGGCCTGGGGCGGGGAGGGCCAGGACTGCGCATGCTCATTGCTTCGAGGAGACTCCTGCTGAGGAGCGCTGGCTGAGGGAGGTGCCCAGCCAAGACTGGATGAGACGGTCTGTGTCTATGCCTGCTGCCCTTCACGTGCACATGGTGAGAGATGGCCCATGGGGCTGCCTGTACCAAGGGTCTGTGGTCCGGGCACAGGAGGGCCCCAAGGCTCTGAGCAGAGTGGGGCAGGCTACCCCTCCCCAGGCATGTGAAGGGTATGGGGCCCTGGTCTGTGAAGGCCCCCGGGCAGACGAGCTGGCCGTGTGGACTCCCCAGGCTTGGGTGGGTGGAAAGTGCAGCCACCATGTTCTTCTCAGGGCCTGAGCCTTCTGGACCTGCCCAGCTGGGAGCACCCAATAGCAAAACTTTAAAAAAAAAAAGAAAAAAAGAATTGGTGGCCAGCCGCATAGCACAGTTAAGGCCGATTGCACGTGGTGGACCACGTTTTGAGTCCCGGTCCTGGTGGTTTGAGAAACATGCTCAAGTGTGCATGTCCAAAATCGTGGTGAGACCAGCCCCATTGGGGGTGCTTTCTCTCTCCAATTCTGGCAAGTATATGCACCCTCTGGCAAAACAAGTAAGTAAAACACAGAATCAGACAGTTGCTGTTTTCGCGGCTGTGGTTGGAAAGACGCTATTGTGCTGGGGTTGCTTCTAGTGACACGTTGGGCTGGGCCTTTCCAACGGCCAGGGCTCGGTTCTCTGCCACGGCCCAGGTCTGACCAGGGCTGGCTTCTGAGCACTGAGGGCGAGCCTGTGCTGAGCACCACTTATCTTTCCATAGCAGACGTGACCGACGGTCTCAGACCCACTGAACAACGGCAATATCGGGGCGCGCACGCCAGAGCGGGCGGGGTGGGGAATAGCGGGCCGTCCCTCAGTGCTGGGTGTATACAAACGAGCATCCAGGCCGCCAGCTTCCTGGACGCCACGCCTCCCAGCCCTGCTCGCCCTCTTCCTCCGAGAGTGTGAATTGCACCTTCGCGGATGACATGACTCGGAGCTGCGTCCTGGCCTTGTGCGGGAGACTTCTGCCTGGAGCAGGAGTCTGTCCTGGTGCCGGTGGGCACGGGCTGAGCTTTCTGAGCCTGGGCGTTAGTGTCTTCCCTCAGTTCCAGAAAACAGACCCACCCTGCTGCTTTTCTTCTAAGAATCCCAGCTACACACAGGCCTTTCCGCTTGGATATTCGTTAACCCTAATTACGTGGCAGTGTTTGGGCTGTGTTTTTGTTAGAAACACCGTGCTTTCACTGCACCTGGCCTGAGCTCCTGGCTTGAGCACGCCCAGTCTTTGGAATGTGCAAGGCACTGTTTCCATGGCTCTGTGACCCCACGCAGCTTTGTGTAAACAGCCCCATGTTCTTTGTGGCTGGCGAAACTCCATGTGCACAGGACTCCTGGGTTCCGGATCTAAATCCTTGCTGCTTCCTGTCAGTATTTACCGATAGATAATCAATGTCTGACCATTGTGTTGAGATCTCCCACTGAGACGGCGACTCTGTCAGTTTCTCTCTGTACTTCATGGATGATTTATTTATTTATTTTAGGTTTCTGCCGTAGGGCGTATGCGCTTGCCACAGAGGGAGAGTGAGAAATCACTCACTGGGGTGGCCACGCCACAGCCCCTTCTCCATTTCCTTCCTTGGAGCTTGGGTGTGCGCATGCACATGCCTGGTGTGAATGTCAAGCTGCCACTTCCAACACTTGACCTGGGTGGCCGTGTGGGAGTTCAGTGTCTTAACCACTGTGCCACCTGCTGCCCCATTCTTCATGGACTGAGGCTATTCTATCTATCAGGTAAATACAGCTTTAAAATCACCTGGCCTTCCCCCCACCCCCGCCCCCCGGAGAAAGATTTTTGCTATAGGGCACATGCGCTCACTGGAGAGACAGAGACAGAAAGCAGGAAATCACCTCCTGGGGGGACAGCCATGCCACAATCCCTTCTCCTCCATTCTCTTCTCAGCATTTTGGGCACACATGCACATGTTCCTGTGCGTTTTAAGCTGCCGAGTCTTGGACTTGAACTGTGGTCAACTACCTGGGAGGTCAGTGACGTAACCATTACACCATCTGCTGGTCCCCCAAATCATTTTGTCTTGGTGAAGGGAACTTTTCATCATTTCACTATCATTTCTGAAATAATGGGTGGTTGGAAAAGTCATTGTGTATTTTTTCTGTTTTTCTATGAAACTTGTCTTAAAGTCTCTTTTGGCCACTATTAACCTCCTCCTTGGTTAACAGTTGCCTACTTCATTGACATGAATCTTGCATTTCTGACCTCTGTGTGTCCTTAGCAGACAGCATGTACACCTGTCCCTCAGCATCTACACAGGGTCGGCCCAGGACTCCCCACAACACCAAAAACAGCAGCCATCCGAGTCCCTCACAGCCACAGATGCGAACCTCAAGGGTACAGGGACTAATGGTCTCTCTATTTCTTTTTAAAATCCATTTTATTTTTTCAATTGCCAGAGAGTATATGCGCTTGCCAGAAAGAAACAGAGAAAGAAGGACCAGCAGATAGCATAATGGTTACGTCACTGAACTCCCATGTGTTCGACCACGGTTCAAGTCCTGGACCCGGTGGCTTAAACTCACGCCGGTCAGTGTTCATACGTGCCCAAGATCCCGAGAGAGGAATGGAGGAGAAGGGATTGCAGCGTGGCCATACCCCCTGGGGAATGATTTCTTGCTTTCTGTCTCTCCGTCTCTCTCTGTCTTTCTGGTGAGCGCACGCGCCCTATAGCAAAAACCTCTCAAAAAAAAAAAAGAAACAGAGAAAGAGAACACTGCCAGATGGGCATGTCCAAGCTGCAGGCCCTCTCCTCCCTCCCCATTCTGTTGGGATTGGGGCACACACACGCGCCAGGTACGTATTTCCAGCCACTGTGGCCAGGACCCTAACTGCAGTGGGCCAGTAGGGTCTGGCTCCTTAACTGTGAGACTGCAGAGCTAGCCCCATGATTTTTCTTTTTCAAATGGAGTGTGTCTATGTCTGTTTTTTGACCTTAGGTTTAGTCCATTTTCTTTTATTGTAATTATTGATATTTTTTTAAAAAAACAAGAGGTAAACATCAAATGTAATTTAAAAGAAATCAGCAAGAACAAGGGAGCAAAGCAACTCCTAAAAGAGTTTGCATCTTAGCGATCACATTTATTGTGAGAGTTGGAGAAAAATAAAAATGCCATCAGCCTGAGAAGTTGTGAGTTCTCTGTAAATCAGCTCATGTAGGAGTGAAAGAATCCTCGGATCATATCAGAATGTATGCGTGCTTCTCCTCTGAAGGTCTTGTACACTGTATGAGGCAGCTGTGCAGTCTCCTATTTTTCCTTACAGAACACATTCTCTGTTTTAGCCTACTCTGGAGGGGCAACTAGTCCAACACCACCTGCCTGGATGAAGAGCACTGGAATATTCCATTTCATTGATTTATAGATCTCTTTTTTTGGAGAGGTTTTTTTCGCTATAGGGCGCGTGCGCTCGCCAGACAGAGAGAGACGTAGAGACAGAAAGCGAGAAATCATCCCCCAGGGGGGATGGCCATGCCGCAATCCCTTCTCCTCCATTCTCCTCTTGGGATCTTGGGCACGCACGCACACGTGCCCAGCGTGAGTTTTAAGCCACCAGGTCCAGGACTCAAACCGCGGCCAACTATGTGGGAGTCCAGCGACATAGCCATTACGCTAACTGCTGGTTCCCGATTTATAGATCTCTTCATGTGTCTCTTCACCAATTTCTGTAGTAGTCACAGTTTCTTCCACCTCTCCTAGTGTCACGTTTAAATGCTGATCAGAAGCAATGTAATCTGCCTTGGAGCTTTCGGGCATCTCTCGTTTTCATGTAAGTTTGCGCACCCAGGCTGAACCTGATGAGACCCAGGGCTCCTCTGTGGTGCTGGTAATTTCTTGCTGGTGCACGCTGTCCACCGTGTCTCACACCCTGTGTCACTTCCCCATTACTGATACATTTGGGCCAGTTTCTACCATTTTAACCTGCTATCTCAGTTTGTCCCATTTTTTTCTTTCCTTCCTTCCTTCCTTCCTTCCTTCCTTCCTTCCTTCCTTCCTCTTTTGTTCTTTTGAGGTTTTGCCATAGGTGGTGTGTGTGTGGCAGAGACAGAGAGAGGGACAAAGGGAAAGTGAGAAATCACCCCCCCAGGGGGATGGCTATGCCCTGCAATCTCTTCTCCTCCATTCTCCTCCTGGAATCTTGGGTATTCACACACACACGCCTGGTGTGATTTTCAAGTCACCAGGTTAGGGACTTGAACTTCGGTTGACCATGTGGGAGTCTAGCAATATAGCCACTATGTCATCTGCTGGCCCTGCTACAGGGTATATGTGCTCACTGAAGAGACAGAGAGAAAGCAAGAAATCACCCCCAGGGGAGATGGCCATGCCACAATCCCTTCTTCTCCATTCTCCTCTCAGGATTTTGGGCACACATACACATGCATTCAGCATGAATTTTAAGCCGCTGGGTCCAGGACTCGAACCGCAGTCGACTACGTGGGAGGCCAGTGATGTAACCATTATGCCATCTGCTGGTCCCCCTTCTCTCTCTCTCTTTTAAATGCCTTTCGTGCGTTGGATTGGCATCTGTGTAGTCCCATGAACAATAACATACCCGTAGCCCCTGTCCTCTGAACTCCCACTGCCTGGCCTTCTCTCGAATGAGCATGCAGCCTGTGGGTTCTGTGCTGCTGTGGACACACTCGTCTTTTGGTCTTGGTCATTCATCTAGATTTTCTTTCCATCTCGGAAAGACTGTGGTGCTCCGTGGTGCACTGCAAGCCTTTCAGTCTTGGGCTCGCTCTTCTCTCATTCTGGGAAATGTGTCTTCATTCCTTCGGATGTGTATCTCAGGCTCCTTTCAGGGCCCCCTGTCCAGTTGTTGGTAGTTCTATCCCTAACCACCATTTCTCTTGACATTTCTGTTTTCTTTCTTCCTTCTGTTAGGTTTTATTTCTCCCATGAGAGAAATACAGACATAGAGATGGAGAGATGAGAGAGAGAGACACCCCAACAGGGTCTTCACCCATACCCAGCCCTGGCCTCAGCAGCCTGGGTCGTGGGCACGTACCTGTGCACTGGGTGTGTGCAGGAAGACCATGGGATGTGAACCTGGTGCCACAGCATTGCACTAACACTGAGCCACTGCTGGCTCCGGCAGTTTTATTTTCTCTTCTTTTCTTTTTTCAGTCCTTTTGCTATAGTATACAGGCTCTCACCAGAGAGAGACAGGGAGGGAGGGAAAGTGAGAAATCACTCCCCAGGAAAGGACAATCCCTTCTCCTCTATATTCCTCCCAGGATTTGGGGCATGAGCATACACACTCCCAGCTTGTCACTCAAGCCACCTGGTCTAGGACTCAAACTGTGGAGTTAGCCATGTGGGATCCAGTCTTTCTGACACCACACCACCTGGCTGGCCCTTTCTTTCCTTTTTATGATTTTTTGCCAGAGGGTACATGTACTTGTTGGAGAGAGACAGAGATAGTGTGTGGGGAGAGCCAGAAAGCACCAACCCCCCATGGAAGATAGTCATGCTGCAATCCTTTCTCCTCCATTTCTTACTCCCTTTAGGGCACACAGGTGCCTGACATGTTTTTCAGGCTACTGGGTCTGGGGTGTAAACTCCACAGTTGGTCATGTGGGATTCAGCCACCTTAAGCACCATGCCATGGGTTAGCCTGGAATTCTATTTTTTTTTTTTTTCATCCTACCTTTGTTCTTGATAGGAAATTTCCTTCACCTGGTTTTCCCATTTGCTGATTTTCTCCTTGGCTCTATCTGGTCTTTTTGTTTGTTTGTTTGTTTTTGTTTTTGTTTTTTTTTAGTTTAGGTTTTTGCCATAGGACACCTATGCTTTCTGGAGAGAGATACAGAGACAGCGAGAGGGAAAATGGGAAATCAAACCCATTGGGGGGGGCAGCCATGCTAAGATTTTCTTCTTCTTCATTCTCCTCTTCTGGGCATGCATACACACTCACCTGGTATGATTTTCAAGTCACCAGGCCTGAGACTTGAACCATGGTTAGCCATTTAGGAATCTAGCACCTTAACCACCATGCCACCTGCTAGCCCTTTAGTTTGCTCTTTATTCTATTTATTGTGTTCTTTTCATTTCAACCATTTTTTTTTAGAGGTTTTGCTATAGGGCACATGTGCTCTCCAGAAAGAGAGAGACAGAAAGCAAGTAATCATCCCCCAGGGGGAGGCCACGCCGCAATCGCTTCTCCATTTTCCTATTGGGATCTTGGGCATGCACACACACCAGCCCAGCATGAGTTTAATCCACCAGGTCCAGGACTCGAACCACGGTCGACTACATGGGGTCCCACAATTTGTTTATTTTATTTTTGTTTTGTTTTTACTCTTTTAGGACTTGGTGTAGTTTCAGAATAAGGACCAAAGTCTGTCTTCCATTCTGAAAAAATTTATTTTATTATTCCTTTTTCTCCCCACTATTTTTCCCTTTTGAAGTTTTTAGATGAAGGTTGAAAGTCTCAGCTCTCTCATATGTTCTGTCCCTTCAGGCCCTGGTTGAATGAAGACTCTCCTCCAGGTGCTTGGGACTTTGCCAGTGAGCAAAGCCTACAGACCCTCCCTGTCCCGCCTGGGGAGGTGGGCAGTACAGGACAGATACCGGCCATCAGCCAGTGAAGTGTCCCCTATGTTAGAGGTGAGCGTTGCTACGGAAGAAAATGGAGCAGGACAGGGAGGGGAGGATGGGTTGGGAGCTGGGGAGAGGTCCCTCCACAGGAAAAGAGAGATGCAGGAAGACTTGCAGGGGAAGAGGGCGAGTTGGGAAGCAGTGGGGAGGGAGAGGCGTGAGTTGCATGCGAGTCTGAGAAGAGCCTCATGTGGCGAGCCCTCGGTGTTCAAGGCCAGCTGGCTCAGAGCGGAGTGCGCGAAGGGCAGGGGGGATGTCCAGTTGGAGAGCAGAGGCCGGGCGTGTGAGCACCTGGGTGTCAACCTGGGGTGAGATGGGGCTGCGGGAACCCAGGGCCAAGGGGAGCCATCAGCTGGGCAGTGCGGTTGCTGCCGGAGGCCAGGCGGCAGGCCGTGCAACAGTCAGCTGAGGGCTGGCAGCCGCCTGGCCCAGGTAGCTGGTCCCTGTACCAATCTGGGTGCCTGAGAAGCAGCTGGGATTACACATTTTATTGTGGGACATGTGAGGAGCTGTGGGACAACGCTGCAGGCCCGCCTCCTCCAGGCTGGCTCCTCAGCCTAGGCGAGGTCTGGCAAGGCCTGGGCAAAGCCTAGAGCCGGCACTTGCCACCAGAGTCCCTGTCTGCTAGTGACCCAGTACTCCTGGTTTACGGGGTGGGAGCAGCCCACGGGGAGCACGGACTGCAGGGCCAGGCAAGGGGACCTGGGCCAGGGAGGGCTGGGCAAGGCCAGACGGGCCTGTCCCCTTACCCCCACCTCATGGAGACAGAGGAGAGGCTAAGGTCACAGGAGCCCTCCTGATGCCTTTGTCCTCCCACCGCTGTCTTTGATTTGGGGGCGTGGGGCCTGAAATGGAAAGTGGTTCTATGGCTCCTATGCAGGTCTGGCAGAGAGGGTGGAAAGTCAGGTCCCAAGGCCTAGGGAAGAACACAGGTTCGGGATGTTTAAAACACGCCGACTGCTGTTTCCCCAGGCCGGCCTGGAGGCACTAGGTATGTGAACTGCACTACCGTCGGGGCCCTGCGGCTGGCCATTGGGTCAGCCGGGCTGCCACTAGGTGTGGGCACCATTGACCCCGCAGAAAGCAGTCTGAGTTGGCCTTCAAGTTTTTATGCTTCTAAGCAACATTTAAATTCATCCCTGCTGCCCTCGACTGCCTGGAAACGTCCCGAAGCAGCCAGGGAATCTGGGTCAACTATCTATGAGAGCACTGTTCGCAGGGCGAGGCGGGCAGCCAGACCGTGACAACGGGGGACTTCTTGGGGAGAGGGGCGGATGTGGCTGGTGTTTGGCTGTGAGCTCCTGCGCGGACTCGCTTTGTGCTGCGGGGTCACTCCTCGCGTCCCCCGGGCGCCTGGGAAGGCTTCCCTTGCAGACAGAGGTGCGGTGCCCGGTGGTGCACAACTCTGCCTGCCGCACCCTCCCTAGCACACAGATGTGCATCTAGCACACCCATGCAGGTGGTGTAAGCCGGGCGTGGCCTCCGCAGCCATCTTGGGTGAGGGGAGCCTGTGCTTCTGCTGTGGTTGGACACCTCCTTGCTGGACAGCCAGGTTCAGCCCCTGGTCCCTGACCGGGTTTGGAGAGCTGGCCCCGCCTGGATCTTAAGCTCTAGTGCACGGCTGTGTCTGGCGGAGTCATTGAGCAGACGTTGGTGGAACTGAAGGAGAATTTTTTTTGGTATAGGGTGCATGCGCTCGCTGGAGAGATAAAGAGAATAGATCTCCTCTGTGGATCTTGGGTATGCATGCATACGCACCTGGCATGGGTTTTAAGCTACCGTATCAGGGACTTGAACAGTGGTCGACTACGTGGGAGTCCAGCAGTGTAATCATTACACCATCTGCGGGTCCCTATTTTTTTCTTTTTTTTACTTTTATCTACATTTATTTTATGCTGCCTTTATCCCTCTTCTGGGTGGATGGACTCCTTTTCAGGGAGGAGCATCTCGTGGTGGCAGGGGAGCTCGTGTGGGGTCGGGGGCCCAAAAAGAGGGCTGAATTTTTGCTGTGCCTGCTCAGAAATGCCGGAGTAACGCTGAACCTAAGGGGTTAGGTGTGAAGTCTGGTCATTGAGCACATCAGGTGACCAAGCACAAGCTGCACCGTCGTCCAGTGGAGCTCCGGGTCGGACGACCCCACACGAGCTCCCTGCCACCACGAGATGCTCCTCCCTGAGGAGGGACGATGGGGGAGGGATTGCGGCGCGACCATTCCCCCCCCGGGGGTGATTTCTCGCTTTCTGTCTCTCTGTCTCTCTCTGTCTGGCGAGCACACGTGCCCTATAGCGAAAACCTCAGGAAAAAAAAAAAAAATGACCCTTGTACCATAAATTAGTATTTCTCCTTCTCTGGGATGATTGGGCAGCTCTGTCTCGGCTGGTGGATTTTCCTAAGTGCTCTCACCTGGACTTACCTGTGTGCATGGGCCGGGTGCTAGCAGGGGCTGAGCCTCGGACAGCAGGCCTCTCCCTGCACGGTCTTTCCCCTTCCAAGAGGCGAGGCCAGCTTCCTCACGTCACTCCAGGGAGGTGAGCCCTGTGCCCAAGTATTTTATCCAACTTCTGCTCGCTTTGAATCTGCTAATGCCACCTTTGCAAACGTGAGTAACAGCCCAGTCTGTCAGCCCCAGATCACAGGGGAAGTGCGTCCCTCGGCGTGGGCTGGACAGAAAGCTGGTCCTGGTGGCCACGAGGTCTCGCTGGGAGACACCACCAGGCGACGGGGCCTGCCCAGACTAAGAGGTTCCGGTGGCGTCAGTCACCGTCATCCTGCCCCCGGCCACACTCAGGGTACTTCTTTTATAGGCTTTTGCCATAGGGAGCGAGCTCTCGCTGGAGAGACACAGTAAGAAGGAGAGTGAGGCGTCACCCCCCGAGGGGACGGGCATGCCACAATCCGGTCTGCTCAGCTTCTCCCTCCTGTCCCTCTGGTCAGGATTTGGGGCATGCAGCACACATGCCGGGGGTGATTTCAAGCTGCAGGCTCCAGGATCCAGGCGTCTTCACCACCACCTCACCAGTTGCCCTGGGGCATTTCTCTTCAAAGACCTCTTCACACGTTTATGCAGCCTTTTCTCAAAAATTTCACCCAGACTTTCATCTCTCTTCCACGCAGAAGACCGCACTGTTGCGCTCCCGGCCTCTCTGGGACACAGATGCCACCAGGTGGACAATGAGCCAGAGGTCATCAGACACTTCCGGCCACAGCCACCAGGTGGCGGTGCACAGTAATAGCTGCGGGCGCCGCGGCTTCGCACTGACCCGCCGCCTTGCGGGCTGAGAGAATGTGCTTCCCAGGGACTAACAGCATAATGGCTATGTCGCTGGACTCTCATGTAGTCAACCACGGTTCGAGTCCTTGACCCAGTGGTGTGAACTCACGCTGGGCGCATGTGCGTGTGTGCCCAAGATCCTGAGAGGAGAAAGGAGGAGGAGGGACTGCGGTGTGGCCATCCCCCTTGGGCGTGATTTCTCACTTTATGTCTCTGTCTTTCTGGCAAGCAGAAATAGTGTGACTTTGCCTCTTTCATTACTTAGATTGGAAGTATCTCAAGATAAGGGACCAGTAGGTGGTGAAATCGGACCAGCAGTTAGCGTAATGGCCATGTTGCTGAACTCCCATGTGGCGGACCCTTTCTGTCTTTCTGGCGAGCACACGTGCCCTATAGCAAAAACCTCTCAAAAAAAAAAAAAGGAAAGCTAATTTCATTTTAAAACTGCCGGAAGAATTCCCCTCGCCAACTCTCTAAACAGTACAGACTGAGACTACAACACAAACGGTCAGGAGAGTGCCCGGAGGGGCCGAGCTTTTGGGGTGCGGAACCCCCACACCTGCCCACGATGCCCAAGAGTGTGACTGCTGTGGCTCTTCAACGTGCGTGCCCAGTGCGACGTCCCTGCTGACGCTGAGCGGCTACAACGCTCGCCAGTGCTGGTTACCAGGTCGGCCTGCAGCTGGGCACAGTGCTGCCAGGTGCACACCCTGACGGGCTATATTTGCCACCGTGGATTGTGTAGGCCTTCCGGGCCTCCAGGGCAACTGGGGCTGCTGGGCATAGCACTGGGAAGCTACGATGAGATGTACAGAGGAGAGCACGCTCAGTGTGTACGTCTTCGCTGGCACGGTATCTGTGTGAGGGCACACTCCTGAGCTCCAGAGGGCTCGGGCTGGCCACGGGGCCCGGGTCATCATTGTGTTGGCCAGGGCTCCATCTGAGACAGAGGGTCTGCAGGTGTCCTAGAAACCCAAAGACAGAAATGCCTGTTTGGGAACTGTTCGTGGATCAAGGCCTGATATCCAGAGGCCTCCACACAGGCAGGTGGAGAATCACAGGGCAGTGCGGTCACCCAGCTGTCCTGCCTGGAAACAGGGCGCTCTATTCCCCGTGGACCTACCCCTCAGCCCATCAGTCAGCCGTGCACAGCCTCGTTTTAATTCTGCTCCAGGAGGAGGGTGCTTTGGACAGACACAGCGACCCAGGAAGGTGATCCCAACATCCTCCTCCATCCTCGCCCTCCACTTGAAGTGTCCCCTTGAGGTGCGATTAAGGGCTTTGCCGGGGGGAGAAGCCAAGAAGAGGGTAAGAGTGGGCAGCGAGTAAGCTGGGTCCCCGGGCTTCAGGAGGAAGCATCCTGCCCCACTACTCTTGCCCCGAGGGAGAGGAAGAGAGAAAAGGGGACACTCCTCGCCCAGCCTCCTCCTCGGCAAATTTGCTGTGAGGGTCTAAACATATATATTTAGGCTTGCCGAAGGGCATGTGTTCTCCGAGAGAGAGGGAAAGTGAGAAATGACCCCTCCACCCAAAGGGGGAAGGCCATGCCACAGTCCCTTCTCTGCTCTCCACTCGGGATTTTGGTCGCGCGTGCACACGTACACAGTTTCAAGTCACCAGGATTCAAACCACAGTCAGCCATGTGGGAATCCACTGCTTGAACCACCATATCCCTGCTGGCCCCTCGAAGACATATTTTATACAAGAAATAAAATCCATCTTTCCATTAAAACATCACATACAAAAGAAAAAAACCTGAGAAAGCCTTTTATAATCCTCACTGTATAAGTAACCTACCTTTAAGAAAATTCTTTCAGATCACAGGCATAGTTTTGAGCTTTTTTCTTTTTTTTTTTTTTTTTAAGATGTTCAAATGGTTCCATTGGGTTTCTGAAACTTGAACAATAAGCTGTAGCTAGGGAGGTCAAATTGTTAACTTGTGAGAATGAACTCACGGAACCCATATCAAATTAAGTTTTTTAAATTGTAAAACAGTATCTTTAAGGCAATGCAAGAAGAATCCACCACGTGAAAGCGATACAAAAACATTCTTCCGTGCTCTGCCTAGACATCAGTACCCGAGTCACTGTTAACTATCTTAATCTGAAACAGAAAAAGTGAGAGCGCTTCGGAACACATTAGATGTCCCGCCATCTGCCGTCTAGCTGCGTTTCCTGGGAAGTAACCGGAAAGCAGAGAGTGTAGAAGCTTTAGGAACTAGAGATGCCACGTTAGTTAGACAGATCTTACTGACGGTCAGCTTCTAAAGTCCTTTTATTCTCACTAGGTTTGCAGATGCAGAAATCACTAGATGCGAGTGACCACAGACAGAGCTGAGCTGTAAGACCTTCCGGGAGCCCGGTCCGTCTGCCTCCCCCCAGGGTCCCCGAGGTCCCTGTCATGCCAATGCTGAGTGTGTCATCGCTGCACTTAGAAACACAGAAGAAAATAGGGTCGCTCCACCCGGCGAGGGGCGCGCCCACACTGCCCAAACCGCGGGGAGCCAAAGGCTTAGACCCCAGCTGGACTTCCTGGCCCAGCTCAGACATCGGTGGCAACTTAGAGACGTTAATAAGAATAGTAATACATCCAGGCAGCACTGGAAGGAAGGGCCAGTCAGTACTCTCTCCAAAGAAGAGGAAAAAATGCCATTTTGGGTTTCTATTTATAGCACTGTTGGAGGTCCACGAAGTTGCAAAACGTTCAGAGAACTGAAGAAAGCCGTGCAGGCCGCCGGCAGCACGGAGTGACACAGGAGTAACCACTGCGTGCGGCTCCGCGACCCTGCGAGGAGGCCCGGGTGGCACTTCCGGGCTTCAGACACACCCCGGGTATCAGCCAATGAACCTCTCCGGCGGCCAGGTGCCCTGGGCGTTGGGCACGTGCGGGGCCCGCGGCTCGGGCGGGGCCAGGGCCTCCACCTCGCGCACCACCTGCGCGAACACCTGGTCCACCATCAGCTTGCTCTTGGCCGTTACCTCCAGGAACGGGCAGTGCCACTCGCGGGCCAGCGCGCGGCCCTGCGCGGTCAGCACCTGGCGGTCGGCGTCCAGGTCGGCCTTGGTGCCCACCAGCACCAGCGGCACCGCCTTGGGCCCCCGCAGCTGGCGCATGCGCTGGCGCAGCGGCCGCAGGGCGGCGAACGAGGCCTGGCTGCACACGCTGTAGAGCACCACGAAGCCGTCGCTGTTGCGGATGTACAGGTCCTTGAGGGTGACCAGGTGCTCGGCGCCCACGGTGTCCACGATCTCCAGCAGCGCGGGCGCCGCGTTCACCTCGATCACCTTGCTGAACAGCTCCTCCACCGACGGCTCGCACTGCTCGGGGAAGCGGCCGCACGCGAACTGGGTGGCCAGCGCAGTCTTGCCCACCGCCACGCTGCCCAGCAGCACCA